CGACCGCATCTCCAGAGCAACGACCAACCAATCGACATAAGAGGCGGTGCCCATTCAAAAGTTGATCTTGGATCACAATCTAATCGAACTGTATCACACTCTGCATCCTGGGGAAAAATCATTCACGTTGGTTAAGAAAAATCATGCTCAGCATATGACCTTCTCCTTCATTGACTACTTTCTACTCTCAGACACACTAATGGGAACAGTCAAGAACACGGAAATCCTTCCGCTACAACCATACGCGGGCCTGGATCACAAGCCCATCGAGCTCATCATCAGTTTCAAACAATACATGAAGAAAGGGTCCAGCTTTCACAAGCTGAATAACTCTCTCCTACTAAGCCAATCCTTTCAAGAGGGAGTCCTAGAATGTTGGCATAATATGAGAGGCAACTATCTACCTATTCACGATAGATGGGAGTGGTTCCGAGAAAGTTACTCCACGCTCTCACAAACGATAGCAAGAATCTCAAGGAAAATGGCAAACGACAGAAAGCGAAGGAAACAAGCATTGGAAACAACACTTAAGATCGTGAAAGTAAACCTTGTTGACAACCTGTCTTCCACAATCTATACAGACATCTTTCAGAAAGCAAGAGAAGAGCTACCCATGTGGCGATGGTGGGAACTGAAGGGCTTGCAGATAAGAGCCAGAATGAACAAATATGAACTAAGTGAATCAATGTCCAAACATTTCTTTGCGAGAATGAAAGCTAATGCAAGATCTAGTTGCATAGAAGGCCTGAGAACCCTTGTTGACCCTTCAGAAACACTAACGGATAGCGAAGGGATGCTTAACATAGCTAAGGGTTTTTATGAGGAGCTTTACCACACAAAGACCCCCACGCCTACACCTCCCAACACCAGAGAAGCACGTACCAGAATGTTTCAAGACTTAGATGGAACAACTTCACAGAAAGAGTCAGAAGCTCTCGATAAGCCCATATCACTGGAAGAACTGCAATTCGCAGTCCAAAACATGAATAGCAACAAGACGCCAGGCACTGACAGGTTGACGAAAAAATTCGGGGTAAAATTTTGGCCACTCCTAGGGAAGGACTAGCTGAACTTCTACCACAACAGTTGGCAAAAAGGAGGACTGGGGAATCTGTTGAGCAGTAGTGTGGTTACCCTTCTCTACAAGAAGGGCGAAAAAAAAGATATAAGAAACTACAGACTCGTTTCTTTAGTGACTCTCCCCTATAAAATATTGGCCAAAGCCCTGGCCTTTAGGATTCTCGATCTGACTGACAAGAAATGCGCCTCAAATGGCTCAAAACATGCTTGCCAAACAGATCAACAAGATGGGCAGATGGGGCAATACATTCACCTCCCTGCTGGGTCGCGCTTTGGCCATCAACACGTCTGTCTTCTCAATGACATGGTATATAACTTCTATATGGACAATCTCTGATCACTCAATAAAGGACCTTAACCGCAAAGCTAGAGCTTACCTGTGGTCAGGAGACCCCAACAAGGAAAATTATATACCGAAAGTAGCATGGCACTACATTACAAGGAAACCCGCTGAAGGCGGTCTTGGTATTATAGATCCCAAACAAGAAACAAAAGCTCTACAAATAAAGTGGATTGTCAAACTCCTGACAAAATCGGGAACAGCATGGAACAATCTGGCGCTAGACAGCATAAGAGGGCTGGCTCCGGTATCGACACCAGCAAACATGCCGGGCCTATTCTGGGTAATGAACAAAGAGTGAGGGCCTATTCTGAGAGAGGAAAGTGATCACCCACTCTTGCTTAAACCCAATGGCATACGTTGGTTATCATGGATAAACCACGGGATCTGGAAAGTCTCTCACATATGGGACGAAGACAAGAAGGGAACTTGCCACCCGTCTCAAGGGATGCCACCGGCGTGAAGAGAACCTGCAAACAATCATCAGATGCATCCTGGAGGGATGGAAAGAAAGATTAACAGAGGCACCGACTTGGAAAACGGGGGAATGGGGGGTCAAGATACAAGAACAGTCCCCTTTGAAGGCCTACCAATTCTCCCACAAGCAGCAGGGCTCGCAAACCTTGGCTATCTTCACAGCCTTTCCAGTCACTCGGACAGCGCACAAGTCCGTGTCCATTCTGAACAAGGATGTAGGAGGAGTGGTTCTCGATATGTTCCTGTTCAGGAAAGTAAGAGTCATGGGTTCATGGCCCAAAACAGTTTTCAGGATAGACACAGCAATCCAGGACCTGGAATTTGACCCTGCGGAATGGGCCTGGACACCAGGAAGGAACAAAATTGTCAAGACGGATACCCACATACAGGACGACTCAGTCAAATTGGGCTATAGGCTATTCCTCAGAACCAAGGACCCGGACCCCATAATCAAGAACAGATGGTCCAAACTAATGGGTCAGGATGCCAGCCACATCCCACAAATCCCATGGAAAAAATTTAGTTCAATCAGACCAGTAAAAATTAGGATCCTCCAATGGCTAATTGCATACGTGGCCTTACCGGTTAATCAATGGCTGCACATCCGGAGACATAAGAACGATCCCAACAGCTCAGATGTATGTTCAGTATGCACGGATAATGAACCAGAAGACATGCTCCACTGTCTAATACGCTGCAGAGAAGCAACATAATACTGGGCAAGGGCATCGGCCCTCTGGGACTCTATTCTCGTCTCCCCTCCCCGAACATCCCTTCCAACTTCTCCTTTGGACCAACATCCCTACCCAGTTGAACAAGACAGAGAGGATCTGGTTCGGAATGATCAGGAAGGCGACACTATGGACCATCTGGAAGGAAAGATGTGGCAGGACCATTGAGGGTACGTCAAACTCGAGGGACAAAGTCTGGGCGGAAACTAAGGATTTGATTCAGGCAGAGATTTTATGCAAGTGGCACAAGGCAAGACTTTCCCTACCAGACGACGACGAGCAGCAGCGCGCAGCACAGTTAAAGTTCACCAAGACCTGGCTGCTTGAAGGAAAAGTTGCGGAGATAAAGAACTCTTATCTACGATGGAAGGAATGGCACAACTCGTGAGGGGATAGGACTAAGATACCGCACGACCAATGGAGTAGTCCCGACACAGACAACAATGTCCTAAGCTGAGCAACATGGGTATCTGGCATGAATTGGGAGAGGGAAGAGCTTTAGATCTGTGACTGGAGGCAGTTCCTACCACTTTCTCTTGCTTTGAATAGGTCTTTTTGACAGGCCCAAGAAGGGAACCTGAGAGGAGCAAGTTGTTAGGGCAAGCTGACAGTCAATCCTCCCCCAAAGGAGTAATCAATGCTGGTCAGGGGTCCTTCAGCCAGATGGAAGGAAGCGTGAGTGTGTTTTTCTCATATTGTATTCAATCTTGACTTGTCGGGGGAATAGGAACCGGACTGACACTCCCCAGAATGGAAAAGGAGCCAGGCCCAWAAGGACCTKTTTTRAAAAAAAAAAAAAAAAAAACACGCCACAAAATCGGGGGTCAGGCGTACTGTAATGAACCCAGTCTGTAAGATACTCGCCAGATGTCGAAATACAACGTAACTCAACTCTGAACAATGTCTCCAATAATCATGAATATGATCTCTGATACAATGCCTCGTTTCCAGTAGACGAAGAGAGTGGAGGGGGAATAAACATATTAGAATGTGGAAGAGATAGTAACCATCAATGACCACAAAGAGAGTAGCCCAACAGTTCCCACTCCTTCTCCGGGCTTGCCCTCTCCTCCACGCCCGCAAAACAATATCCAGTAACGAGCCTCACAGATCCTGATCACATCGAAGTGCCACGTGGCACAGTTCTTTCGTGAAGACGTTGGAGACAATCAGCAGTGCACAGTATCGACATCAGCCGCAGGTAAGTATCCCGTTCCCTCTCAATCATCCACAGATCCCGATCTCCCTCCTTGTCGCGTCCAACTCAGCAATGTAGACAATGTGGCAAATGACACGTCAGCAATGAAGACAGAGTGGCATACGCCACATCAGCAATGTTGAAGACAGCGTGGCCCTGTGCCACATCAGCATAGGCTGGCGCCAAAGCAGAAAGGTGCCAGCGTGCAGCAGCAGTCTCGTGTCGTCGTCCACAGTGCCAGCGTACAGCCAGCGTCAAGGCAGCGTCACGGCAACATAGCAATACTGAATGTTGACTCCCTGGAGGCCAGACCAAGTGGCTGACCGACCTTAGGTCTCCCACCCACGGTGGCTCAGATTGACTCACAGCCGAGGGCCTGGATTGCGTACAGTTACAGACTTCCACTTGGTCCTGATGCTGTCTTGGTACCTGCATACAAACAAGTGTGTGTGTCTGACCGGCGGCCTGGGCTGGGTACATGCAGACTTTGACTCTTGGGCCGCTGGGAAGTTGACCAAAGTCAACTGTCGGGCGCACAGGCCCTGGGCCAATCCAAGGGTTTTTCCTCCCCTTGGCCCTTGCGGCCTCAGACTGGGGTCGTGGCCTGTGTGTGGCCTTAGGCCACTTCAGAGCATATTGAGCGGGGTATTGCAGTACCGAAGGGAAAAGTTTGGCGGCACCAGGCAAAAAGACTCGATTTCACAACTGTGCAGGTTCTTTTTTTGGGGGGAGTGCGCCACGCGGCAGAAATGCGCGTCAGAATTGTCCTTCACGACATCCATTAAAATTGGAACAATACAGCGAAGATTAGCATGGCCCCTGTGCAAGGATGACACACATAAATCGAGAAATGGTCCAAATTTTTAGGGGAAAAGAAAAGAAGTGCTCGTCAGAAGAAAGAGGCTCGGATGGACTTGTGGTTCATGACTTCAATAACAAGGCAATTTTGAACTTAAGCCAGTTTACTGGGCTCATTGATAAAAGGATTGAGTACAAAGAAAATGGGGTATGATGGAACCCACCCAACAGAGCTTTTGCAAAAGGGGTCTCAATTTGACGGGATTTGAGGGGAATGGGAATCCAACTGTACGTTTTTTGAACTTTTTTCTTAATTTTTTTTAACCTTTCTCTATGTTGGCAGCTCTGACACAGTCAATTTGAATGCCCGCCACAGGACCTACTGAAGCGGCATCTTGTGCATTTCAGCCGAATGCACGAGAGAACAGATGTGAAAGGCAAAGGCGAGTTTGATATAATGCCTACAACTTTCACGTTGCCTGGTGAATATAGGCAATTTGTTGAAGCGTTTGAAGAATCTGAGGAGGAAGAACGTAACCGAGCCTTGCAGTCTTCCGTCGCGTCCGAGTCAGTTGTCACCACCGACTCCCATTCCGGGAGTTTCGCGGGAAAAGGAAATCAGGATGCCTTGCAGAAGACAGGGTTAACAAAAGGCCCGCAACAAGGAGCGGACAAGCCTGGAAGGGCCGCAAACAATGATGGCGATATTCCTGCCACTAACCGACAAGTAAGACATATTGTTGAGGGTTCAATGCCTTCAGACGTCAAACAGAATGAGGGCGAGAGAGACCAGTCAAGTGATGCAAAGAAATGTGGTATGCAGCTGCTTCACAGTGAGAATGAAGTTGGTTTGGAGGCTGCAACAGAACAAGAGAAGTGTTACAGGAGTGGACTGCAGAGTGCAAGGAACAGAGAGGAGGCAGGTTGGTCATTGAAGAGGCTTGGCGTCTTCAGGAAGCAGCTTGGCTGGAGAGAACGAGGGTGTTGGAGCGCTCGTCCGGATCTTTGCAGCATTGCCGGCAGAACCAGCTGGGGGCACTGGACACACAACCTGCGCTGCATTCGCAGGCAGTCTGCATGTGGTGCTCAAGAAACTGACCAAAGGATTACAAGATATGCGGACCACCTCCGTAGGAGTCTAGAGATGCTGAGACAAAGCAGCTGCTCGGAACGAATCGCTGGTACATCGGCGTACTGTTCAGTGCCTGGTATGAAACAAGGCATAGTGCACAGCAATGCAATGCAGTCTGATGATGGCTGTGACGGGGTTGGCATCAGACTTCATTCATCTGTATGCGCTGATAGAGTTGGAACGTGTAACGGGTTTGATGAAATCGGTAATGATGTCCTCGTCGAGGTAGATCAGGGCAAGAAAGCTGAAGCATGTGTTGACGCGCTCAACAGGGCTGATGGGCAGGTTATGGGGATCTTGGATAAGAAAGATGGCAACAATTGTGATCCAAGGAAGGAAGACGATGGAGGTCATTGTAAAGGCTATGCGAGGAAAGAAGTGAATGCTGCAACTGACAGCTACTTTCGAATGGCAAAGGGTTCACTGGATGACAGCGGTCCATGCCGTGCTCAGCAGGAGCAGGAAAGCACAAACGCCGACGTCTCTGAAAGAAAGAAATGGACACCTGAAGTGGACGGGGGGCTGGCAGAAGCCAGTGCTTCTGTGAAGGAACCACACAACATTAAGCTGGTTACCGCAGACATGGAGCGGAGTAATGGTCACTTTGAGGGGGTTAGCTCTGCATCGGGCATGGTTGCGGGAAAGGATGCGATGGAGGCAAACAATGCTCCGATGCAGCAAGGTGAGGAAACGCAGCGTGATTGCAAATGCAGCCAGGCCCAGGGGGAACATAGCGAAAACTTGTGGATCATGAAGCCAATTGGCCAGTCCAGGGGACGTGGCATCTTCCTCATCAATGACATCAACGAGATTTCCTATGGCTCTCCTATGGTTGTCCAGCGGTACATCTCCAGGTACAGTCTTCAGTTGTACTCAATCCTGGAGCCATTAAATCTATAACAGCGCATGATAGATGGCATTCAATGACGTAAACTACATCCGTTAAAATTGGAACAATACGGAGTAGACTAGCATGGCCCCTGCATGAATATCTAGATTACGCCAGTTCTGATATTGATACGGAAGAGAAAAAAGAAAAACAAAAGAGAAAAAAAAAGAAAAAGAAAAAAAAAGAAAAAGAAAAAAAAAACTTTAAATTTTAAAAAACTTAAAAAAAGAAAAAAAAGAAGGAAAAAAAAAAAAGATGACATACATAAATGTCATAAATCGAGAAATAGGAGGGGGAGGGGGAGATGAGGAAAGAAAAGAAAAAAACGGGGACCCAAAAAATAAAGATGACAATCAATCATGCAGATGATTTTGCTCTGGAGGCGTACTCCCACTAGGACTTCCTCGAGCGTATATGAGCGAAATGACGGCCTTATTCAGTTGAGAAAGTCCATGTGTGAGTAGGGCCTAGTTCCTACGATAAATTTATGTCCCAAGCCGCTGCTGCTGCTGCTGATGATGATGATGATGACGATGACGATGACGATGATGATGACGATGGTGATGATGATGATGATGATGATGATGATGATGATGATGATGATGATGATGATGATGATGACACACACTAGGACTTCCTGGAATATATATGACCAAAATGATCGCCTGATTTGGTCGAAAAAGTCCGTGTGTGAGTATGGCCTAGGAGAAACTTCTGGCCCAAGCTGCTGCTGCTGATGATGATGATCATGATGGTGACGAGGGGGAGGACAGTAATGTTTGAATGATGATAAGGGCAGTGGGATAATGATTATGTTTGAGGGATGATGATGATGATGATGATGATGATGATGATGATGATGATGATGATGATGATGATGATGAGGTTGTTGTGAAGCGCTTGCCTCCCAGTGGTGATGGGGACGATTGTGTTTTGGAAAGATGATGATGATAACTGCAATTATGGGGCTGCAATACTGCCATTGATGGCAATGACACCACGTGCAGTTTGGATGACGATACTGATTTGTTACATGGCTAAACCATGCTCCCTCTTTCCACATTGCGTTATTTTACCACTATATAAGATGATCCATGAACAGCACAAGCGCCCTCCTAGTCCAGGCATGCAGGCCCCGCATGTTGGTTCTTTTTCACGCTGTTGAGAAGTGTCAGGCCCCTACCATCGTGACCTGGGCTTCCATTTCACAGAACCCCTCAGTAGATCAAAACACACACTGTTATGGTCTGGATAGTCTGGAATTTCCTGGACATCTTGCATATCACCCCATGGTAGTCCGGATGGCAGCCCTACTATGCATGTCAAGCAGAATTGTGCTGATACGTTGTGCATGTTTTCGGCGTGCTTGGCTTGTTGGCAATACTCTAGATTGTGAGCTGTTAGAGGGGGAGGGGGGTGATGCCTTAAATGTATCGCTGTTGTTCTTCAGTCTCTAGAGGGCTTTCACTGTCGCGAACATTTGAAGTATTTCTGAAATTCATCCCACAAAGATTTGCAATGATCACAAGAGATTCAGATTGCACAATGGCAATCGTGTGGACCATTCCCTAAGGCTGAAATCCATGACGAGAAAGATTAGATCAAGAACCGTAACTCCATCCCAAGATTCCCAGCACCATTGGGGGTAAACTTGACCACACCCAAGCACGCTCAAGCACGATGAGTTACTATCCCTTATGGGATGGATTTTGAATGCATGTCTTTGTCATGAAAAACCGATGTCCTATACCCCAGACGAAAGGGACACTCAAAGGCACTTGAGCACAGTCCAGCACAATCAAGCAAAACATCTAGTTGAAGGCAGACCTGAAGCTCCTTATGGCTGAACGCATTCCCACCTCCATTACCCCAAGTCCAGTTACAAGTGCAGTCCAAAGTACTGTCGCAAAACCAGTTGTAAATGCAGTCCCAAACGCAGTCGCAATTGCAGTTCCGAATGCAGACCCAAATGCCGTTCCGCATGTCCCAAATGCAGGCCCACCAGATGTCCTGCTGATGCTCCTAATCACAAGAAATAGTTCTATGGACTTCCAAAGTACCTATGGTACCAGTTTATACTGGGTTAACCCTGGGCCTGAAGCTTATGTAGAAGCAACCACCACTGGGTTTGTTATCTTAGCAGGGATTCTCTTGAAACTGGTCCAATCCAGCCTAAAAGTAAACAATCTGCCACAAGTAACCAAAATAGTTTTTTTGATGAATGGGTCTAAAACTAAAAGACTAAAAGTTAGTATGTGCCTGTTAAGTTTCAAGCAGAGACAAAACTTAAAGACCGCACCGCGGTACAAGCCTTGTGAGGAAATGAAGAGGGCCCTATAGGGAGAGTGACTGCAGCGACAGAACCATGCTTCTGTGAGTTCCATGGTGTTTTCTTGGCGGAGGCCATCAGCTGCTGCCAACCAAGCCAAGTAGGTTGCGCACTGTCCATCTATTCTTCTGGTGCATCACACTCGCAATACGGTGATCAAGCTGGATCAGTTTTTCCATCACACAATGATGTTCGGGCCACGAAAGAACCTTCATGCTCCTTATTGTGATTCCATAGAATCCATACCAATGTTCACAAAGACTGTCATGGAACACCCGTGCACAGCACATGTCCATGCCCCTGCTTTTCCTAATACTGCCATAAGTTGGCAAGCGCCTAATAGCTTCATTAAGTAGTGACGGGACAAGTTGAATCCCTGAGTTTGCTGAGATAGATGATGACGCAGAAGTCGTTGCTCATATGAAATTAGCGCAAAATGTGAGGCTTTACTCTCGCGGAGGACATAATGAGCCACATAGAAAAGATAGCTGAGTTGCAAACTGCAGCACACCCCCAGTGCAATTGAGCCTACAGTAGTCTAATACTGACTTAGGCAGAGAAATCAATAGAAATGAACATAAACAAAAACAAAAAGGCGGGAAAAAGAAATGAAAAGATTTAAAGAAACAATGAATCAAAATGCTGTCAGTTCTATCCTTCCTGGCTGCTTCTAAGTTTTTCCAAAGCTTACGGAAACTTACTGAGGTAGGTTCGGGAAGGTGCTGCCCATGGTACTGGTGATTGAAAAAAGATGTGTGTCCGAAATTTTGAATCAGTGCTTCAAACTACCGTTTGAGAAGATCGGCAAACTGGAGGTGTAGAATGGTAGTGGTGCAGTAATCTGGGTTCTCTTTTCCGGGTGCACGGGCCGCCCACACCCGCCCGGAAGGCTATCCGGCTGGGATCCCAGACGGCCTCAGTGCACTTGCCGGGCCTTTTCACACCCAAAAAGCAGCCTTCCGGCATTTTCACAACCAGACCTTCAAAAAAATGATGATGATGATGATGATGATGATGATGATGATGATGATGATGATGATTCCTCCATGAAGCAGTCCCGATCTAGTTGCAGTGGAAAGACGAAGATGATGATGATGATGATGATGATGATGATGATGATGATGATGATGATGATGATGATCCTGTTGTCACCCACTCCCCCTCCCCCAATCCCACACCCCACCGCCCCAACCAACATTTTGCTAACTAGTAACCACTTAAAAAACATAAAAGAGCCCAGATTCATGGAGAACTTGGTGGCCAAGGAGGATGAACCACCACCTATTAAAAAAAGAAAAGAAAGGGCAGGATAGTTTGGTATGCCCGGGTTACCCCGGGCAGCGAAGACAGCCACGAGACCTGCACGGGTGCCCAGCCGGGGCATGTTTGGCCGGGTGCCCCTGGTAACCTAGGCAGAATTCAGAAAATCCTTCAAGAATCAGGATAGGAATCCTATGGAGAAGATTAGCCTAGCTCATGCATCAAACAATGACACACATTAAAATTTGGCCAATGCTCTAGATTTTGGGGAAAATGGAAAAAGGCAAGGTAATGGACCTGATGGTGGAGTTTACTACCTTACCGCATTCAAAACACAGATGAAGTGTGTTTGAGGTTTGCTTTGACAGTGTAAATCACATGGTTAAAAGTTAAAACTTAAAAATGTCTCAAATCACCTGCAAATTGTAGGCCTCCATTACGACTTCATTAAGTTCTATATGCAGGGGTTGACATGATATTCTATATTGAATCTCTGTGCCCATGTGTGCATGTATTTTCTGTGGCTTTTGATGTGACTGTACATATGCCTATTCTGCATGTCTCTATTCTGTGGCTTTTCATGCGACTATCTATCTTGTCTATTTTGCCCTTCTTGTATGCTGTGGAAACGTGGATGTCTATTTCTGTATGATCTGTTGGGCATTTTTCGACTTCAAGGCCCCTTTTGGTGGATGGCTACAAGTTCGATCTGAGAATTTATGTCTTGGTGACATCCTTCAACCCACTTGAAGCTTTCCTGTATAAGGAGGTAAAGTAACTCAGAATGCTTCGGTCAGCACACATCCTTAATGACCCCAGGCAATTATGTTTTCACCCTTTGCTCCACTTTTGTTCAGGGTCCTCATGTTTTTAGTACGTCAAGTCTTCTACCCTTTTGTTTGACCTTTGCTTAGGGTCTTTGGGATGAAAAAGAAATCCAGTGCTTTTGGGATAGAAAAGAAATCCAGTGCCTACCACCTGTGACACCACCTTTGCGTAGTTCATAAACATTTTTATCGATTTCTTGCCGTGTTTGCGTAGTTTTCGCTTTTTCGTAAACATTTTTATTAACTTCTAAGCATGGTCACCACAGACCCGGACACCAGACACCGGATGCTTCCGGACTCTCTTCCAGACCAGTGTCTGGACTGCTGCGGACTGTCTGGTGATCCGGACATCACCAGACACCTGGACATCACCGGACCGCTGTCAGGGGGTAAAAAATGTCCGGACCAAAAAAAAAAGAAAAAAAAGGG